TTGCTTGATTCTGTGCAGCCTGGCTCACCTCACTGTTTTGGGAGCTACACTACACAACGCCTTGTTTGCCTTGCGGTGAATACTCCCCTGATTAAAGCATAAGAAGGGCACTAAAGGTAGGTGGGGGATCATTTGGGAGGCTGAAGTTCCTCTTAATGGAAGCCTCCAGGAACAGTGCCTGCTGTGTGTGCTCACTCCATAACACAGTACAATGTAAGCAGATAGCAATTGTTCTATTTACCGTACTTGCATTAATCTGCTTGGTGAGTTTAGTTAAAACCAGAAGCACTATCTGTGATAAATGGAGCTGAATTCTGCCAGATGCCCATCTTCTCTAAACCTTTAGGTACTTTTCAATCATTTATGAAACCATTGTATTTATACTGAGCTGGAGGCTTTGACATGAGGAAGCAAAAGACTTGCCTTTACCAAGATGGCCACCTCCACATATGATGGTCACCTCCACATAGAGACACGGTGCAGAACAAGTCATTGTAAATCTGTAATAGGGAAAGATCAGCTGCAGGGAGACCACAGGCAATACTGGTGACTAGTCTTTTGCCTCTGCTTGCCTTTTTTTGGGAACAGCTTCCAGAGTTCAGTCCCTTTTTATAATTGGGGTTCTTTCAATGACTAGCAAGGCAGGGTTATGGGGAACCTTTTAATGTTGTTTTTAATTCCAACATTCATCCTTTATACACTGAGTGGCCAGATTATTATGACCACCCCATCAGTACTTCGTTGGGCCACGAGATGACTCCACAAGATGACTTAGTTGGTCCGCCTCGTGACTCCACGAGATGTTGAAAGGTGATGTGAGGAATCTAACACAGCACTGTTGCCCTTCTGTTGTCTTGTACCAGTCTTGCCACTCTCCGTTCTGTCCTAACAATGACTAGTCGCTGACGGCCACAATTCACACTTTCAGACCCAGATTTTCGGCTGGCAGTCCAGTCTTTAAACACTTTATCAACAGCTGCTCTTGAACATTTAACAAATTCTACTGTTTTGCTGATACTCGCTCCATGGCTCTGAGCGCCAACAATCATCCCACGCTCAAAGGCTGTTAAATCGCGTTGTTTACCCGTATCTTCAGTGTCGTGGTAGACAACCTGCTTCCCTATTTATAATGGTCTGGCCCTCTAGCAACTTCAGCGCCAAATAATAGCTAATTTGCCTACAAACGTCAGGTGGTCATAATAATCAGGCCACTCAGTGTATCTTGTCATGCTAGCTGAACCCCTATGACTGCCAAAATCCTAAACTTTTAAATGAACTTGAATCTTAAATGTGAAACTGAATGAGAATGTGTTCCCTGGTTCTGAGCTACTGCAACTTTACTCACACACGTAGACGATGGTTACACAGAACAGGTACATAATAGGCTGCAGTCCTGGACAGAAACACTACAAGAAGACTAATTCTACATACCCTTATACACCTTCATCAGACTGTTGAGATCATCATCGTCCTCACCATTGCAATTAGGTACCAGTATAGTACCTCGGTTTTACTTGACATATCGCTCACTAGGAACAGAACAGCTGAACAAATTATTATACAAATGTTATGCTTATTTATTGAATAAAATACTCCCTGTGACGAGCAGACATGTAAATTGTGTCTTGTTCCAAATGGAAGATTGGACGAATTTTGTTTAATTTGGAAATTCAGATGCATCCAAACTTTCGAATCTGAATTCAAACAAATTTGAATTTTTGGACATGTGGTTGCTATCAAATGTCACCTGTTCAATTTATGTACAGATCTCTCCTGAGAACACTAAATCATTGCCCCCGTCCCTGAGATAAACTGACCAGAGTAGAGTGATCAGGGGCCGTCATGAAGGTTAGGGAGACCTTACGGTCAACTTTTAAACAGAAGTCAGAATTTGCATATTACAAATGTTGTCCTGTCTGTGATCTGTCTAATTATTTGGAAGAAAGAAAGAAAGGGGTTTGCAGGAAAGCGAACAAGCATAGTACCAAAATAACTCTTAGTATCACAGAGTTATAGTAGGCTGCACTGTACAATAATAGACTGCAGGTGAGACGCGCACACTGCCCGTTCTGCATTGCGGTCATCGGAAGCCCGCCCCTCAGGGGGGCGGGCTTGCGATGACCGAGAGTACGATCTGCCTGTCCAAGATGGGCAGATGGTATGTTTTTTTAATCACTTTACAACCATCGCAAGACTAAGGTCTTGCGATGGTTGTACAGTGTATGGCCACCTTTAGTCCATGGAGCACCCAACCCTAAAATGGTTTAGTATGCAAATAGAAACGTTAATTCCATAAGTCATGCCTTGATCTGCCCCCTCTTGCTGCTTACTACACTGATGATAAGATAGACCCCTTAGGGGTGTACAATAACTTTTGTTGTTAAATCATGCATTTTTTATATAGAAATCTATAGATCAGCCAAAAAAGGGACAAATGAGGAGGGAAAAGGGAGAAATGAGGAGGGAAAAAGGGAGAAATGAGGAGGGAAAAGGGACAAATGAGGAGGGGAAAGGGACAAATGAGGAGGGAAAAGGGACAAATGAGGAGGGAAAAGGGACAAATGAGGAGTGAAAAGGGAGAAATGAGGAGGGGAAAGGGAGAAATGAGGAGGGGAAAGGGACAAATGAGGAGGGAAAAAGGGAGAAATGAGGAGGGGAAAGGGACAAATGAGAAGGGAAAAGGGAGAAATGAGGAGGGAAAAGGGACAGAGGGATTTGGTCTGTCTAATTTGCTTTGTGCTCATTTTCACACGAGATCCTGTGTGTGTGTTTTGTATTTTAATGTGCAAGTTCAGTAGAGTATTTTTCTTGCTTTGTGATTTCTCTTGCTGGTGCTTAGTTCTGTCTCCGTATTTCTTCTACAGCTCCGGCTTGAGCCAGATATTTCTGCTCCATCTGTGCCATCATCTGTACTCATTACAGTAAAAAATCCTGTAAAATATGAACTGCCATAGTTACCCAGATTTATACCGAGCTCCACATAAATAATAAGCAGCGTCATCCCAGCACAAGAGGCAAGAGAACTCTCCAGATTTGGCTGCTACACCTGAAAGCTCTAGAAGGTATCAGGAGAAAGTGATATTGTAGGGCAGTGCTTGTCATATGTAAAGCCCATCACTACAACCTCATATCATAACATAAAAGTATCATAGAATCTCATGTTGTCAGATCTATTGCCCTAAACACTTACAGTGTCAGCAGCTTTAATAATCAGAATTATACGGGGGGGGGGGCATTCAAAATGATTTATTTATTTTTAAATGTTTATTATGAGTTATTTATTGTAAGTGTTTATTATGGATGATTTATTGTAAATATTTATTATGAATGATTTATTGTAAATGTTTATTATGAAAGATTTATTGTAAATATTTACAATATTTAGAAAACGAAATGTTAAAGTGCAATTGAAGAAACAAAGTGATCTAATTATTTTTGCCTTCCTCCCCTGGCAGATCTAACTCTCCCCCTCCACAGATGCACACTGACCAAAATCTGATGCCTGCGGCCTCTAGGGATTGTTTACATCCTGCGTGGCAAGTCCTCTCTTGGCTGCGCCGGTGTAGTAAAGCCTCATAAGTCTATAGGACTCTTCTCCCATCCAAGGGACAGAGGTAGAGGAGCACCACAGGGGCAGAGATCTGAGTCACTATAGGGAGTGCAATTTCTCAAATATCTCAAAACAACTGCTGAGATAAGATATCCGCAATGCTGGGAGGACAGTCAGTGGAACTCGTAAAGCGTGTCTACAACTCTATTCAGAGTTCCGCTATGTATCTGTATTGCCCCACATTCATGTACCTGTTGAAAACAGGTACATAACAGAAAATCCAGAGACCAAAACAATTAAAAGAGTGTTAAACCAATGAGCCCAAATCAAATGTAATCGTGTGATAAAACAGGACAGACAACGTGCCAAAGTGACCGTCTCTTTACCAGTTGTGGCTCTTAACCCTTGCAGTTGGGGCTGCCCACTAGGCGTGAAAATAACAGAGTTACACTCACTTGAACCTTGCAGCCGGCTGGCTGTTAGACTGACCCATGCCGCCTATCTCCCCTTCTGCTCCAGTGGTCTAAGGTCTAGTGAGTCATCAAGTCCTATACAGTGAATTGTGAGGATGCCGGGGGAGATAATATCTCCGGAGGGGGGGGGCTTCAGGGACCAGACTATTAGTATCTTTGTTATTTTCCCTCCTATAGCAAAACAAGCACTTAACCCTTACAGTGCAGGGATGTGACGATCGGCCGTCAGTACGGAGGGGGGGGGAGGGGGGGCGGCGTTGCTGTTTTGCCTAGGGCAGCAGCATTTGTAAATACACCGCTGGGGTAGCCCCACTACAAGGGTCAAGATCATTTCCCCCAGAGTTCTTTTTTAAGTGTGCTACGTATGCCCCCCAGCGCTTTATCGTACCTCTTCCCCTGCTCCTGTCACTTGACAGCCAGCACTTGCCCAGTATAACAGCAGCTGCAGCTGTCAGAAATGGAGCTTCTAAACAGTGGGCCACACAATAAGCGCCATGTGGCCCCTGAGTTGCAGGTTGGGCACCGGGGCAATTATAATAATACAGGTTTGTGTTGTAATTTCACCGTCTGTCACTCTTCCTGGACAGCTTGAACCGCAGGTAATGTGGAGGAAAATACAAACAGCTATGTGAGCTGCCAAATGACTCCACATACACATCACATGTGATATGTCTCTTTGTTGAGGAAGATACAATGTCATCACACTGGTTCCTCCAGCACAATGCAGCTCTCACCCGCACACCTAAATCCTCCCATGATACTTAGTGTTTCAGAAGCCAACCATCTTTTTATCCGCTCTCGACCCTTACACTGACAGACACCCGTCCAGCACATGCGCAGTGATCGCTGGAGGGGTAGCCATGGGAACCAGAGAACACAAGCAAGCGGTAGGCGGATTGTTTCTTCCGCGCAGTGACGTACTTCCGGTATGCTGTAGTCGGGCGGGTGTTGGAAGTTTGAATTGTGATGCGAGCGGGAAGTGACTGTGGACTGAATCGGTATATAGGACGGTACGTGAAAGAGAACGTAACTGTTTCTATTGTGATGTGTGCATGCGGAGGAGCGCTGCTTGTGGTTGTATGTGTGATGGGCTAGTCACACAGCTACTCAGGCAGGAGAACTACAAGTCCCAGGCTGAGCGTAGCTGCCAACATGTGGGAACTGAGGGTCTGTCCAACTACACGTCATCTTGTGTGTGGACCCAGTCAGGACCAGTGTATAACAAGCTACAGAGATAGAAATGAAGGGCTTCCACACTCTACTATAGGAAAGCATTTGTATGTGTGTATTGTGGAGGGAGCGTTCTCCTTGCTTCCTGTCTCGTATGTTTGTCATCAAAACAGGAAGCAGTGAAAGCTTCTCTATCAGAGCCATTGATAGCAGTATACCCCAACAAGGCTTCTGACCCTTCCCCCATCTATCCAGAACTAAAAATATGTTTTGCCTGAACATGAACCTTAAAGTGACACTAAACTCAGGAGTTAAATCTTAAAAATACATTCGAGTATCTTATCTATTAACAGAAATGTAACTTATTTGTGTATCACTCGGCTGTAGATCCTCAAATCATCTCTGAATTGGTGCTGACACTGTCCGTCCTTCTGGTGCGTGACTACTTTTGTTCCCCATGGTCCCTGTGTGTGTTGTAAAGTAGCCACCGCTCCAAGCTCACTCCTTTGATTGACTACAATCTCATGTTTAGTTTACTCATTTGTATTGACATATCAGTCTGGGTGTCGCAACACTTCTTAAAACTCAACGTTTCAAAAACTGAGCTCTTGATATTTCCTCCTGCCCGTGCACCTTCCCCCAACTTTTCCCTTGAGATTGATAACACAACTATCCAACCCTCCCCCATGCCAAGGTCCTAGTTGTCATCCTTGACTCTGACCTCACCTTTCTTGATGGGGTTTAGTAGTCTGACCTCTCATCTCCTGAACACACCATGAGGATGGGGTTTACTAGTCTGACCCCTCATCTCCTGAACACACCATGAGGATGGGGTTTACTAGTCTGACCCCTCATCTCCAGAACACACCATGAGGATGGAGTTTACTAGTCTGGTAAACCCCATCCTCATGGTGTGTTCTGGAGATGAGGGGTCAGACTAGTAAACCCCATCCTCATGGTGTGTTCTGGAGATGAGGGGTCAGACTAGTAAACCCCATCCTCATGGTATGTACAGGAGATGAGGGGTCAGACTAGTAAACCCCATCCTCATGGTATGTACAGGAGATGAGGGGTCAGACTAGTAAACCCCATCCTCTTGGTATGTACAGGAGAGGAGGGGTGGGATAGCCCCACTACAAGGGTCAAGATCATTTCCCCCAGAGTTCTTTTTTAAGTGTGCTACGTATGCCCCCCAGCGCTTTATCGTACCTCTTCCCCTGCTCCTGTCACTTGACAGCCAGCACTTGCCCAGTATAACAGCAGCTGCAGCTGTCAGAAATGGAGCTTCTAAACAGTGGGCCACACAATAAGCGCCATGTGGCCCCTGAGTTGCAGGTTGGGCACCGGGGCAATTATAATAATACAGGTTTGTGTTGTAATTTCACCGTCTGTCACTCTTCCTGGACAGCTTGAACCGCAGGTAATGTGGAGGAAAATACAAACAGCTATGTGAGCTGCCAAATGACTCCACATACACATCACATGTGATATGTCTCTTTGTTGAGGAAGATACAATGTCATCACACTGGTTCCTCCAGCACAATGCAGCTCTCACCCGCACACCTAAATCCTCCCATGATACTTAGTGTTTCAGAAGCCAACCATCTTTTTATCCGCTCTCGACCCTTACACTGACAGACACCCGTCCAGCACATGCGCAGTGATCGCTGGAGGGGTAGCCATGGGAACCAGAGAACACAAGCAAGCGGTAGGCGGATTGTTTCTTCCGCGCAGTGACGTACTTCCGGTATGCTGTAGTCGGGCGGGTGTTGGAAGTTTGAATTGTGATGCGAGCGGGAAGTGACTGTGGACTGAATCGGTATATAGGACGGTACGTGAAAGAGAACGTAACTGTTTCTATTGTGATGTGTGCATGCGGAGGAGCGCTGCTTGTGGTTGTATGTGTGATGGGCTAGTCACACAGCTACTCAGGCAGGAGAACTACAAGTCCCAGGCTGAGCGTAGCTGCCAACATGTGGGAACTGAGGGTCTGTCCAACTACACGTCATCTTGTGTGTGGACCCAGTCAGGACCAGTGTATAACAAGCTACAGAGATAGAAATGAAGGGCTTCCACACTCTACTATAGGAAAGCATTTGTATGTGTGTATTGTGGAGGGAGCGTTCTCCTTGCTTCCTGTCTCGTATGTTTGTCATCAAAACAGGAAGCAGTGAAAGCTTCTCTATCAGAGCCATTGATAGCAGTATACCCCAACAAGGCTTCTGACCCTTCCCCCATCTATCCAGAACTAAAAATATGTTTTGCCTGAACATGAACCTTAAAGTGACACTAAACTCAGGAGTTAAATCTTAAAAATACATTCGAGTATCTTATCTATTAACAGAAATGTAACTTATTTGTGTATCACTCGGCTGTAGATCCTCAAATCATCTCTGAATTGGTGCTGACACTGTCCGTCCTTCTGGTGCGTGACTACTTTTGTTCCCCATGGTCCCTGTGTGTGTTGTAAAGTAGCCACCGCTCCAAGCTCACTCCTTTGATTGACTACAATCTCATGTTTAGTTTACTCATTTGTATTGACATATCAGTCTGGGTGTCGCAACACTTCTTAAAACTCAACGTTTCAAAAACTGAGCTCTTGATATTTCCTCCTGCCCGTGCACCTTCCCCCAACTTTTCCCTTGAGATTGATAACACAACTATCCAACCCTCCCCCATGCCAAGGTCCTAGTTGTCATCCTTGACTCTGACCTCACCTTTCTTGATGGGGTTTAGTAGTCTGACCTCTCATCTCCTGAACACACCATGAGGATGGGGTTTACTAGTCTGACCCCTCATCTCCTGAACACACCATGAGGATGGGGTTTACTAGTCTGACCCCTCATCTCCAGAACACACCATGAGGATGGAGTTTACTAGTCTGGTAAACCCCATCCTCATGGTGTGTTCTGGAGATGAGGGGTCAGACTAGTAAACCCCATCCTCATGGTGTGTTCTGGAGATGAGGGGTCAGACTAGTAAACCCCATCCTCATGGTATGTACAGGAGATGAGGGGTCAGACTAGTAAACCCCATCCTCATGGTATGTACAGGAGATGAGGGGTCAGACTAGTAAACCCCATCCTCTTGGTATGTACAGGAGAGGAGGGGTCAGACTAGTAAACCCCATCCTCTTGGTATGTACAGGTGATGAGGGGTCAGACTAGTAAACCCTATCCTCATGGTGTGTTCTGGAGATGAGGGGTCAGACTAGTAAACCCCATCCTCATGGTGTGTTCTGGAGATGAGGGGTCAGACTAGTAAACCTCATCCCCATGGTATCTATGTATGAGGGGTCAGACTAGTAAACCCCATCCTCATGGTATGTACAGGAGAGGAGGGGTCAGACTAGAAAACCCCATCCTCTTGGTATGTACAGGTGATGAGGGGTCAGACTAGTAAACCCCATCCTCATGGTGTGTTCTGGAGATGAGGGGTCAGACTAGTAAACCCCATCCTTATGGTGTGTTCTGGAGATGAGGGGTCAGACTAGTAAACCCCACCTCATTGTGTGTTGTGGGATGAGGGGTCAGACTAGTAAACTCCATCTTCGGGGTGTTTTGGGGGGTGTGAGGTCAGACTAGTAAACTCCATCTTTACGGTGTGTTGCGGGTGAGGGGTCAGACTAGTAAACCCCATCCTTATGGTGTGTTCAGGAGATGAGGGGTCAGACTAGAAAACCCCATCCTCATTGTGTGTTGTGGGATGAGGGGTCAGACTAATAAACTCCATCTTCGGGGGGGGGGGGGGGGAGCAGGTTTTATCTCTAGTAAACTCCATCTTCGGGGTGTTTTGGGGGGTGTGGGGTCAGACTAGTAAACTCCATCTTTATGGTGTGTTGGGGGTGAGGGGTCAGACTAGTAAACCCCATCCTCTTGGTATGTACAGGAAATGAGGGGTCAGACTAGTAAACCCTATCCTCATTGCGTTTTGGGGGATGCGGGCCAGACTAGTAAACCCCATCCTCATTGTGTGTTGGGGGGTGAGGGGTCAGACTAGTAAACCCCAACTCTCACTGATCTGGTTGCAAGAGAGTTTTTTCAGTCACCACGGGGACCTGATGACCGGAAAATGCCCAGCTCTGTATTAATGTATGTGTATATGATCCTAGGTAGAATGTTTTTTATTTGGTGCAGATGTGTGTAATGTATTGGTAATGACTTTAGTTTTGTTTTTGTTTTTTTCAGGAGTCACAATGTCTAAACGTGAGGCGTTTTTACAGGCCACAGGGAAGGAAACATTACAGGATTTCTTGCATTTCATTCAGCTTCATGTAAGTTCATTAATATTTGCATAGTCCATGTTGGAGCTCAGCGTGTTATCCTGTAGTCTTCATGCTGCAGTGAAATGCTTGATTTGCTTCATAGCCTGAAGTAAAGACCGTCCTTAACATTCATCTGCTTCTCAGTGTCTCCTTTTTGTAAGCACACACTTGCTTTCTGTGAAAATCTGCAGATCAGAAATGTGGCCTAATGGTTTGCAAACCTAAATCCCAGTGTTGGCTTTCTATGGTCTGTGTTTTGCTAGATGGGTAAATTACTTCATGGCAGATGAACCTATAAAGGGGACCTGTCTTGAGGGACTTATGTGGGTTACATTTGCGAAGGTTTGGAAAAATATTTGCTACCTATTTGTCATTATGAGCCTCTGACTTCACTATGCAAGTCTGACCCAAAACAGGGAGTTTTAACATCCATGGCTGTATACATTTTCCTGGTTAGGAAATCATTGAAACCACTGATCATCATGATAACCAGGTAGCTAACGTCTCACCAGTGGCAATCCACATACCCTTCTCATGACTGGTTCCCCTTTATTGCCCTTAACTGATATGAATCCACTGACATGCGTGTTGAGCATGCATATTCATATTAACATACAATTAAATCCCAACTGGAGTGACAGAAATAGATCTTCAGGCAGATAGACTATGATAATGGAGGTTGTTAGCACTAAGGGCTGTATTTGCCAGATTGACCCATATGGGCCAGTGCCTAGGGCAGCGTCTTTAGATGAGGCAGCGCCAATGAAGGCAATTGTTGAGGGAAAGGGATGCAGGGAATATTGAGAGAAGTCAAAAGGTTCTTTTGGCGCTGGGTACTGCTTAAAAATTGATGTGATCCTCTCCCTTTCTTTTGTTTTGTAGCCTGCACAGAGGAAAAATAGCTCTGCATATAAATCAAACCCCATGCTTCATCCAGCAACATAATCTAAAGCTGGCCATACACCTATAGATCATCTGCAGATTTTCTATGGTCAGATGGAAGTGCAACAGATTCCTCCGTCTACGCTAAACTGTGTGGTTGGAGGAATCTCCCGCTGGGCCAAGCTTCAGCATCTTGCTAGTCGGCCCCACTGACTCTCAAAATACCTGAACAATGCCTGCATCCAATCCAATTCCTCTCTCCCTTCCTCCTATCCATGCAACTGGCTCTCTGAAGCCGCTTCTCTTCAGCACTGCATCGGATGCAGGCACTCTGATGCCATCGCGTACAATGCAGGACCAGCAGTCATGCATTCTAAGTCCCTGTTCACACCTGGGCGTTTTGACACTCAAAGCTAAGTGCGACAAAACTCTCAAAACATCACAATTCTATTCATTTCTATAGTCCCTGTTCACACCTGAGAGTTTTGTTGCATGATGCAAAATGCCAAATGCTAGAAAAGGTTCATGAGCTTCTTTCAGGCAGATTACAGCACGTTTGGACACAAGCATTATGGTCATTTCTGTGCATGTTTGCGTCTTTTTCTATGCGCATTTAACGCACGTAAAAATGTGCAAACCATGCAAGGTAAAACGTGCGTTTTACACACGGAAGCGCCGACACCTAGGTGTGACTGGAGACTGAGTGAGGACACTGAGAGCCCGCCCACAACCTAGAGCGTTGGAGAGAAGAGTGCGCCAGCCGCAAGGGGTGCGAGAGATAAGGTAAGTAAAACTGATTTTCAATGGTACTCTAGACGGAAACAAGCACTTTACCCTTGTGGCTTTGGGGGAGCCCCAGAGTTCCACTTTTAAGGCTTGTCCCATCTGTGGCACACATTTTGAAGAGATGATCTGTTAAGGAGTGATGTGGGGACTTATTACATTGCAGAAAGATGCGTCAGATCCTTTTGAACTAGAAGAGATCCTACAAGAGCTGCCAAGGAAACAGAAGGAGGAATTATGGCAGAAGCTGAAGGCTTTACTGATGGATACTTTGCTGGCAAATCCAGTAGAGTCATGGCACAAATTAGATGACGACAGTGACGATGACATGGAAGTGGAAGGATCTTCTGAAGTGGTATGTGGCATGTTTTATTGTCGAAATACATAAGTCTCTCTGCTTTGAAGGGCCAGTAGATATAAAATACTTTTTACATTCACATTAAAGAGAAACTTCATCCCGGTACAGGGAAGACTGATATTCAACAGCTACAAATACACCTTCCTTGCCTAGGCAATGTACTGTGAAAGTGGGAGCAAGTACCAAAAGAAAAGAAAATGTTTTATGTAATCATGTAGCAGGAAGTGGGAGGATTAAAATTAAGCCATGTTTAAAGAAGATCATCCAACCCAGCTGGCCGCTACACCATCCCTCCTCCCCCTTCCGCTCCAGCGGTATAATGTCCCTCGGCGTACTCGCGTCCAATACACTACTGGACGTGATGACTCACGGGCTCTCAGACCACCGAAGCGGAAGGGGAGAGATGCTGCAGGGACAGTCTAGCAGCCAGCCAGGTCAGATGTTTGGGTGAGTATATCTTTGTTATTTTAGCTCCCTAGACATAACAAGCACTTAATCCTTGCAGTGAAGGGGTGGCACGACTGCAAGGATTAAGATTTCATATGCCCGGAGTTGTTCTTTATATTTTGAGTGAATGTCTGCTTTTAACAAATACTATTATAACTTATAACGTACAACAATAAGCACATTGGGTGTTGCAGTGTAGTCTGTTTTATTCTACTTATTTAATGTTAAAGAGATCTATCTTGAGAGAAATAAAGCTGCCATTGAACTGGGGATAACAGAATATGTGTGGGCACCCCTTGGTGCTGTATTAACATTCTGCTGACAGTTTACATTGTTAGAAGTGAAAATGCACTAAAATCTGCAATCTGTCCTTTGCTTTTAGAAAACCACTATGGAGGTTATACATGGTGTGACTATTGTGTCAACAGTCTCTGTGTCTGTGGTGGAAGAGAATATGAGTTATCGCGCTCTCCTGGAATGTGCTGGCCTTCTCAGTGGTAAAGAACTTTTTTTATTATAGCTTATTTTATTTTTTTTATTGTTGAAATAGAGACCCTTCTAAATTGACATTAGGGTACCAGATACACGTCTAGGCAGTTTTTTCTTATTGAAAATAATAGAAGCTGCCAAATGTACATTCCAGATGTATAGTTTTGACCATGCATTGCTCCCTCCAGAAGTGAACCATGGGACCAGATATTCATGAAAGGGTAAGTGCAAATTTACTAGACCTCCAATGTAGAAGCGGTATGGCAGGGTATCCATAGCACTATTGAACATTTGCACTCTCTGGCCCCATAGATTATCTAGGGTTCTTATATGATCTGTGACTTACATGGAAACAGGGAACCCATTATACTCGTCTATATTGTTTAAAGCAGGGCTGGACAAATCCCAGGAGTCACGTAATCAATGCACCTTAAAAACTACAGCTGGAACCTCGCTTTTCAGGTTTTCTCTAGTTTTTGTCAATGGCTCTCCAAAAAATAACTTGTTGGCTCCTGGATTGATCAGAGTGGCTGTTGAATTCCATACTAATTTGTCCACCTCTGGTTTAAAGCGATAAATATGTTGTTTAAGACTTGTGCGGCTGGTGGTGATTTCAATCTTCTCTCTTGCAGTGCCACAGTTACTGCATACTGGCTGCTTCATCACTACAGGACACAGTAGACATGTACTATTTAGCAAATTAAGCCACAATCAGCTGCAGCAAACATGATATTCAGCAGGGTTGCTTTAATTGATATCAGCCAGCACAGTTCATATTGCACTGAGCAATCCTGTAACCTGCAAGTACAATTTTAAGAGCGTCTGCAAAGTATTAAATGTTTTGATAGTTCCGTAGAATGTTAATGGACATGAAAGTATTGACATATTTTAACATGCAGTAAAATAAGCTACCCCTGGCCTCCTGTAGCTGCTTGCACTGTGAAGTATTTAATTCTCAAAGATTAAAGTAATTTTAGTGACTTTGTTGTGGTTTTTGAAGATGGATTTCTCCACAATGCCTATAGCTACTATGGTAAACGAGGGCTTTTCAAGGGTTTTTACTGCATGTATAGAATTTTGTAAATCCTTTCATAATGTTCATAGTCGGGACACAGGTCCAATTTAAGTTGCACCGTGTTAAAATGAACATGGGCAACATCTGTTGGCATTGCAGCCTTTGTTCTTCTCTATACTACTCCTAGGGGGAGTGCACCACTATGTGGGACCGAAGCAAAAATTTCCCAATCATCTTCCAGTATAGAGACATAACCAGGCCAAGTATTGAATCATCTGTTTTCTTCATGACTCCTTGCTGTGGTTGTGGCTTTCCCCTGTAGAGTCACTTACTCCTTATGGTCTCACCACCATGTTTGCTGATTTTGCAAATTTATTAACATTAAAGAAATGGTTTCTGCTTTTTGTTGTTCGGCAACAACAGGAAAGCTGTTGTGATAGAAAAATGTGCATTGTAATTATATACATTTTTGGGTGCCTGCCTGATCCCCTGGGTGCCTGCCTGATCCTCTGGATTTGCTACTTGACTGAATAAGTACGTAAGTCCATCATCAGATAGTAAAGTCAGAGAATCGTCATGACCGCTCGACAACTAGTAGTTGTCAAACTATTTCTCTTGTAACGGCTTCACTTATGACTAAAGTCTAAGTCAATTTGCAGGTATTCTGGAAGCTTTACCCAGTTCAGAATCCCACGTCCGTCTTGCCATCCAGCGACTGTGTGAGGCCTGGTGGGAGAAAGGCTTAGAAAAGAAGGAGGAATTTGGGAAAATTGCGTTTTCAATGGTTTTGGCAAAGTCACTTGAACCGAAAGGTTTGGTATGTACAATAAAATCTTCATCCTTTTCTACTATTTTAGATATAGTATAGATGTAGTCATTTAAAACAGGTACGTATGTGCAAATAATCTGGTGATCAGATTTTGGAATGACTTTCTAATCATACCACTTCCAATTCATTCAGAACTTGAAGAAAATAAACCTTTTCTTTTAGCAGCCATTGTGTGATGTAATTTAGGGGTAAGACCTACATGTAATCTGAAGGACCCTGAGAAGGTCCAGTTTCTCCTCTAATTCCGAGCTGGTGTTCAGGGGCTACCTGAGCCCTCTCGGCAGTCTGCTTTTCAGACTGAGGGCCAACCCATGGTGCTTTTAAGTTTATTTTACAACTAGCCAGATATCCGCTTTCAATAAAATGGAAAAATGATTTAAATGTTAATATTTATTTGTTGATGTGGATTGCAGCTGCAAGGTTTGCAGTACCTTACTTTTTGATTTTCTTTCTAAAGGTGCCCATACACCTGCCGATTATCGTACGATAATCGCAGAGAAATCCCGCGATCGTACGATAATCGGCAGGTGTATGGAATGCATGCGACCGTTTCTACTGTATGGTCGCACGTCTTTTGTCTCTTGAGCAGGCTTGAAAACCCGCCGAGAACCGTACGATTGTTAGTGGCGTTCTCGGGAGACAAATGCCGCACGGGCTGGTGTGCGCAAGCGCACACTGCCCGTGCGGGGTTGCAGTCATCGGAAGCCCTCCCATCAACGGGGCTGGCTTGCGATGTTCGCAAGTACGATCTACCTGTCCAAGATGGGCAGATCATACGTTTTTTTAAATTACCTTACAACCATCGCAAGACAAAAGTCTTGCAATGGTTGTGAGGTGTATGGCCAGCTTAAAGCAGCTATAGCCTGAGAAGTGAAGACTGTCCCCGGCCAGCAACTGCAGAGTGGGGGTCTTGCTCCCTGTGGGGAAGCAGTGGCCTCTTTGCAATCAGCAAAGCTCATGCTTCCTGCTGAGCAAAGAATTCAGGGCTGTGACTCAACAGGGTGCGTGTAGGACCTCTGCAACAAAATGACTGCTTCCTCACAGAGAGCAAGGATCCCACTGGTAGGACATAGCTGCTGACGGGACACAGGCTTTTCTGCTCAGGTTGTGTCTGTTTTTTAAAGAAAGCAAACTGTAAGACTTAGCACACTTGGGAATGTAGGTAGCTCATTCAAAGTGGAATTCCACTTTTGCAGTCAAATTGGGATAACTGCTACTTTATATTTGTTACATGTTGTCATTCATGATGCAAAACAGAAAAAAACATCTAAAGTGCTGCTTACATTAAGTGATTTTTACTTGCTAAAAAACGCTTCCTTGCTTCCATCCTGTGTAATGTTAAGGAGAGGGTTGTGGGACGTTACTGTAATAACTCGGGTATCTGTACTGTGCTGACAGATCTCATTATCAGTTGTAAACTAGATTTGAACACTGTCTGTCCTAGCAAAGGGTTAAAGACTTGAAAGCATTGTATGTTAAAGAGCGGATGAGTCTACAGTACAGAAAGTGAAGAGAAATCTCCCTAAAGAGACACAGATGGTGAAAAACAAAAACTGACAGTAGTTTTAACCCTCCCCAACTCTATGCACAATGAAGACAAATGTTTTGCCTTTTAGAAATACATAATGTGTAACTGCACCAAAGATGAAATAGCTGTGGCCCCAGCCATGACATTCGCAGGGGACGCTGAAGTCGCCATCATGTCATGGATGTGAACCAATAAACTCTGATTGCCTAATTATCCAAATATCAGCAGCCCACCACTGCCATCAGTAATGACATTATTTGTGTATTACAACTTTTATTTGTTTTAAATTGAGGTGTATTTGTGAACTATGGTTCAATAGGTATTATTATTATTATTATCATATTCATCTTTGTGAGTGCAGAAACTGTGTAAATATCCTAATACTTCTCTCTTAATAGGCTGCGGACATTACCCGCTTGTGGCACCTTCATCCAGCTCTCCTCAGTTTTGATTACAACTCGGAAGACAGTAATGAAGTGAGGGATCTGTTACTCCAGAGCTTTATGAGTATTAACCACATTAAGAAAGAAGAGGTAAGTTCCTTTTTATTGATTTAGTGCATCTGATTGAACATGGTAGATATGTCCAGAAGGCACACTCCAGTCACGAATGAAAATTATATCTTGAGATTTTGATCTGAGACCCCAAGTTTGTAATGCAGGAAATGTATTCCCAAACAAACCTGCAGCATGATCCTTTTAAAGTGACACTAAACTCGGAAGTTAAACCTTAAAAATGCACCGTATTACGTACAGTACCGTATTAACAAATATGTATCTTATTTGTGTATCACTCGGCTGTAGATTCTCAAATCATCTCTGAATTGGTGCTGACACTGTCCTTCCTTCTGGAGGGGGGCTACTTTTGTTCCCCATGGTCCCTGTGTGTGTTGTAAAGTAGCCACCGCTCCAAGCTCACTCCTGTTACTAATTTGTATTGAGATTGTAGTCCATCATAAGAGCAAGTTTGGGGCGGTGACTACTTTACAACACACACAGGGACCATGGGGAACAGAAGTAGCCACCCTCCAGAAGTAAGGACAGTGTCAGCACCAATTCAGAGTTGATTTGAGGGTCTACAGCCGAGTGATACAGAAATAAGATACAGTTTTGATAATACGGTACTGTATGTATTACGGTTAATACGGTGCATTTTTAAGGTTCAACGCCGGAGTTCAGTGTCAGTTTATTATCACTCACACAAAGAGCTTGATGTAAAAACAAAAGTCTGTGCTAAGAAGCTTCTCATAGCCATCGGTTTAGACAAACCTGCCTTGGAGGCTTGAATGTAATTAGTGAGCAAGAAAGTAGAGCAAGCGGGTCACAGTGTGCATGCTTCACTAAGTCCCCTCATTGTCACCATGTGAGGAGCTTCCTGGAGTCAGACTGAATTATAAAAACTCAGAAGAGGGTAATTGGAGCAAACTGTCTGATTTTAGCATATGATCAGCCATTCTAACATTAGTAGCTCACTTATTTTGTTGTTGCCTGAAATTGCTATTTAAAGTGTTTATATTTGCAAATAAATAAAATCAGATAGCGAGTTGCTAAAGCTAGGCCGAAAATATTTCATCTATAAAATCTATTCAGTTTATCATAATCCAGCATAGCCGCATTTGGCATTGTCTTTACATTTGGGCGGACCTGCAGTCTCTGGTCATTTGATACTCTGCTGTACATCCCACCCACTCATCATGTAAGTGTGGCTGCTAATCAGTACCCTTCAGCAATGGGTGTTGGATGCTGTTAGGTCACAGCTTGAAATTGTTGGACATTTATTTTTTCTCTCTGTGCTCCTAATAAATCTATTCACTCAAATCTGCTACCAAGTACAGCCCCATCTGCTGGGACAACCTAAAGAGGTGAAGGTTTATTAGGTGTAAAACAATCACTTCAAAATGGCAGGGTGGCACCTGTATGCTCAAGAAAATATATAGATCAAAAACGTTAAAATGTATGACTGGTCAAAATTTAAAAGTATTTGAACATTTTCCTGTGTTGTATCCCTTTAAATATGCTGCAGCATAAAACTAAAAAAATGTATTGATCTACCAGAAATCCAGTCTGGTTCTAACTTCCAGTGGGAGCTGAGAACTTACACTGGAAGTTAGTGTTGTCAGCCCTGTCCAGCTCTCCTAAGCTGGACTACAGATGGACTACAGAACATCATCCCCTCTCATCTCCATAATATAAGGGGGGAGGGGGTGTTATTTAGTCCAGGAGAGAAGAACTCAAGAATTTCAGTGCAGCAGAGGCAGAGTTTTTCGCTCACATAGGAATATAGGAGCTCTGGCTGGAACAACAGGTATTTTGCAATTATGTTGTTTTAAAAAGACAAATTGTGGGGCAATGTAAATGTAATGCAGGGATGCACTGAATATGTTTTTTTATTTTGCCCAGACACACAATTTAACGTGTGCATGTACTTTGCCCACACTGGGAAAAGTTATTTGTTCACTTTACTGTCTTGAGCTTAAGGTGCATTCCTATCAACCCGCTATATCGCTGTTCTGCCAGATATCCCAGAGCAAAACTGAAAACTGTACAGGGGCTGTGCACACTCCCCCACATGACAGTAGTCATCCGCCCTCCACACACACCTCTGATATACCAGTTCTTTACCAGGCATGGAGAAGGTAAGTAAATGTACATTATGGCCTTTGCCAGGGGTAGCCAAACTTCCCCCATCATGCATCTGCCTCGGAAAGACATGTCTGTGGCCCTCAGTCTTGCAATGCGTAAAGGGATTTGTAGTTTCACCACAGCTGGAGAACTGAAGTTTGACTACCCCTCTTCTATGCAGTAATCTGATTTTTGCCCTGAAGGACCAAAGTACAAATTTATATTTCAGCCTCCTGACCCAATACACAAAGGCCTAAAGTGGATCTTTACCCCCTTCCAGTAAAAATCACCTCAGCATTTAGTTCTGCATGCTGATATGAAATCATCTTACATTCATTAAACAAACATATTTTTCTTTTGCTTACTGTTTTTCCACTTCCTGGTTCTCTTCGGCATTGGTGATGTAGATATCCCAAGCATTGCATCCTGGGAAGGTTACATCAGCAGAGCATTGCTGGGAAATCTCATCTGTAATGAGATCTCAGGGAAAGGCATTTTCCTCCACTGAGATGATGTTCATGGTCACATGTGGAAGAGTTCCAGGAAGTAAAGGGAAATGTAATAATCTTCCCTTAGTAAAAATGGCCACTGTGAGAAGAAAAGAGAAATAAGGTATGCAAAGAATAAAACTCCGGCAATTGTCTAAAGGTATGTGTTTGTAGATTGCCATTACTAATTATTTCTAAAGTTGCCTTTGTTGTCATTTCAAAGATACAGGGTACAGTTCCTCTTTGGCCGCATCTGAGATTTTTAATGTAGAATGAGATTAAAGGAGAACTATGAGGTGAGTGATTTTCACTCGACCTCATAGTTCGAGCCGACGTGTGACAATGAAACTGTCCCAAGTCGGCTCAATGGATCGGTAAGTGAGCGAGCACATACCGTCGGTCGCTCACTTCTCGATCATGTCCCTGCAGAGAGCGGTGACTGTCACTCACTGCTCCCTGCAGGGATTCCCCCTCCCCTGTCTGATCCTCCAGTGCTGACTGGTGAACGGACGGGGGAGGGGGTGGGTACATCTGGCTCTGCCTCTAGATATCGCACAGCTGGGTGGATGTCGACAGTAATGTCGGGATACGTCCTGGCTGTGGCGGTCTCAGTATACCGCAAGCTATAGCTCGCGATATACTGAGCATTGGGTCACGGGAGGACGCTAGTTTATGTCCTCCCGTGACCCTCAGGAGAACTATGGGGAAAAATACTTACCCCCATAGTTCTCCTTTTAACACTTTGTTGACAGCTATCGCACACACCACATCCCAATTTCTCTGTTTTGTGAATGAGAAAACAGTCAACAAGGGGCTGGTCTCATGCCAATAAGCAATGAAAGAGCTCCCGTGTAGCTGAGCTTCAGCACAAACTTGCTATGTAAATGATGAAAAACGTGCATGAAAATATATTCTTCTAAGCTTGTTTTTAATGAATTTCCTTTCCCTCCTCTGTAATTAGGGCCGGCGGTTTCTTAGCTTTATCTTCAGCTGGGACATCAACTTCATTAAAATAATTCATGGAACAATTAAAAACCAGCTTCAGAGTTTACCAAAGTATGTAACATTCAAGCTGCACTGTCACTTATCTCCTAACGTTGATCTACATTGTCAGAAGTGTGGTAAACATTTCTGTATAGGACTGTTTTAGGATAGTCACCCATGAAAGACTATTTCTCATTGGCTGCTACAGATTGCCATTCATTCATTGATCTCAGCTGCTGTTAAATAAAAGCTATTACAGTGGTGATGGAACATGCATCGAAATCCAACAGTAGTTTTACATCACCTGTCTTGTTCTGGCAGTCAGTAAACATATCAGGTTATGTTGTTGATAGTACTGTCGCGTAAATATTCGTTTGGGAAAAAATGATTGTTTAAAATGTTCTAATCTTCTAATGCTGGGAAGGTTGTAGTGTATCAAAATTGTTTTTTTCTGTATGTATGTTATTTATACATTAACCCCTCCCAGCAAGTTCCCTTATGCCAGGATGGCATTCATTCAGGTCCTGTCAGTCTCAGCTCTGGCAGGCTTCCAAGATGGAACAGACCACTGCACAATCCAGCTGGAGACCCTGCCTGATCATGTGGTGACAGATCATGTGATCACTATGAAAAATTGCAATCAAAGCAAAAGACATAATTTTGCTTTTTATAAATTATCCGTGTATTACAGCTATTGATCTCAAAGCTGTTAAATACTTCTTGTTGTCTAAACTGGCGTTTACCTGAAGTTCAATATCAAATTTGGCCCGGTCATGGTTTTGATTACCTCGTGACTTTGAAAGGATTTGAAAAAAATTGTGTGTGTGCACAGCTGTAATGGAAACCTACAGGGATTAAACTGTAAATTTCCATTACAGACTTCTTTTTAAAGGTACAATTTCCACAACGGTCACCATAACAATTGTCTCACTGCCTATTAAGACTGACGTTTAAACTGTTCTTTATACAAAAGTAAAAGAGAGGGGGGAAAAGTTTGACTGCAGTTTATAAACAAGAGGTTTAAGCATGCATTTCTCTTTTTTATTTTTCATGAGCGATGGTGCTAAAAGTTAACATGTTGTCATTTTAGGTCATTCATATGCCACATTGCAGACATTTATTTAAGAGCATGGAAAAAAACATCTGAAGACCTTGCAACGGTATTGTAATTTTCTTTCTGATGGCTGGATCTGTACCGATTGTAATATAGTTGAGTACTAAATTGCTGCCTGTACTTTAGAAGAAGGTGGTAGGCCCTGAAAACGTGTTCTGAAAATGTAACTGTTGGTACATATATATCCAAGACAATAGTCAACTGTGTTGTTCCTGTGGTGCACTAATACTGCTACCATCGCCTCAAAATGTATTTCTACGTTTGCAACCAAAATGGGATAACACTTCATTTACATTTTGTTACACGTTCCCATTCACATAGCATGACCTTAAACTAGAATGAAACTCTCCTTTCTTTTACATATATCTAGTGCTAGCAAACAGTAGATCTATGCAAAAACATATTAAAAAGTTGCTAAAAACTTACCTGTGTCTCCCATCTAAAGCTTCTCGAGCAGCCGAGCAGGAGGATGAGAGGGCGCATGCACAGTAGAGATCTTTGGCAGGGAGAAGAGGAGAGACACAGCGGAGGTGAATGCACACAGCCAGGAGCGTGCACATCAGACAGACACCATGGGACCTGAGGAGTCTGCACTGCATCAGAGACCGGCACCAGCGCTGGAGGGATTGCTTAATACAAGTGGAAGGAAGAAGATGATCGGATCAAGAGGCATCACTTAAGGTAAGTCCTTAAAGGGGCTCTAAACCCTCCCGTTTTTTTTGCCTATATCTACTGCTACCAAGCAGTAGATATAGGCAAACAGTTGTTTTCTCTCCCGTTCATTGAAGGACACAGGCAACAGATCGTAGATCCTGAATGGTAGGGTAATATCGCCACCTGCAGGAGAAGGACGCTAGGCACAAAAACTAAAGACCAATTACAGCCTAGGGGCGGCCCCTGCCGGTGGCCAAACCCCCCACCTGCTGACAAGTCCCCAGTTTTTTGCCTAGCGTCAGGAGTAAGGAGCTAAAAAAATTTCTCTGGAGAATTTTTTTCCTTTCTTCCGTTTGATTTGATTTTTCTTCTAGCAAGTGTCCCCAGGGCGACAGGCTGGATGACTGTAGATCCTTGTAGTCTCCCCTGGGTGACCGACGAGCGCATGCAGACTCTGCTACGGTGGGTCGGCTGCGACGGGTGGTCCTCCCCGACGCCTATGGGATTCGTCCCAGGGGGGGGCTCCTGACCGGGGGCTCCGGCCCACCGGTCGCGGCTCTCCCCGCAGGCTGGCGGCGCCGCGGCTTCGGTCGGGGGCGTTATCCTGCCGGTACCCTGCTCCTCCCTGGATCCTGGCGATGGTTCCTGTCTTCCCTGGTGGTATGTATGTGGGGTCTCCGGTGGATGGCCTGAGGACCTGGATCTGAGGTAAGCTGCAGGCGGCACTGTTTCACAGCTGCAGCCTCCTGTGTCTTCCTCTCTCCCTCTTCCCCTCCCCTCCCCTCCCCTATCTGGGCCGGAATAAATGCTGAGGGTCTTGCATTACTGTGGGTCCCTCTTCCCCTTGCCTGGTGGTCTCCGGTCAGTGGGGTATTTTTCTGCGGTGTAGATTGGATCGCAGGGATGACTCTCTCCTACGTTGCCGTGTGGGGATTGTGGGCTGCGCTCTGCGGGCCCCTCTAGACCCCCTCTTTGTGCGTCCTGTACGCCTGCGCTGTTTTGCCAATCATCCGTGCGTCCCTCCGGTTCTTCAGGGGGGGTGGGTGGTACCGCGGTACCGCATTGTCCCTGGAATATTTTTCCTCTGCCATGGATGGGTTTGTGACGCGCATGATGCGCGCCTTGATGCAGCGCCCACCTAGGCAGCGGGTTCTGCCCTTGCCATCCCCTGCCTTGTCAGGGGAGTCCGATGAGGGGGGGTCTCCCCATGACGTCACCTCATGCTGATCCGGGTGATGCCTCACAGCCTGATTCGCCAAGTGAGGATGAGGCTGCGTCTACGCTCCTGGTCTGTTTGGCCACCGGCAGGGGCCGCCCCTAGGCTGTAATTGGTCTTTAGTTTTTGTGCCTAGCGTCCTTCTCCTGCAGGTGGCGATATTATCCTACCATTCAGGATCTACGATCTGTTGCCCTGTGTCCTTCAATGAACGGAGAGAAAAGGATTTTACGGTGAGTACAAAATCCTATTTTTTTTTTGTTAAAACCGCTAAAACAGCGGTTTAAACGTACCTTTTTTTTCTTTGCGCGCTCCCGCCCGAGAAAACAAAACTGTTCGGGCGGCCGCAAAGCATCTTGGGGTGGGCGCATGCGCAGTTCGGATTCTCGGCCGGGTGCGCCCGCATGCAGACACCGCTGGATCGGAGAGCCGCCGCACCGCTGGTGGGTTTGGTGTGTATGTTAAAATGGCCATACGCTATGCGAATGAAATGGGCACAGTGGGTGCCGCTGTCTACATCCTTCCGGCTGGCATCCCTTGATCTGCTGATCGAAGGAGGCGGTTGAAAAATCTTCAAACGAACAGTGCTTTGCAGCCAATCGGCTGCAAGCACCGTTCATATATTCTGACAGTGACCAGCCAAAACAGCGGGGGATTGGTTTATCAATGCTCGTAAGCCTTTATTGGAGGAATCTGTTCTGTTTATATCTTTCAGCCCATGCGTTGAACAAAAAAATATAACCGTGTATGGCCAGCTTTAATCTTTAACCTAATTAACCCTGTCTGTACTGTGCCGGCAAATCTTTACTATTTGTAAACTAGATTTGGACACTGTCTCTAAGAAAGGGTTAAAGATCTAGAAGCATTGTATGTTAATGAGTGGAAGCTCATTCTGTTCCCTATTCTTACTATGGGGACAGACCGAGTTTCTGGTCACTTTGAGAAGCACCAAAGGACTGCTACACAGACGGTTATTTTGGGGTATGTTGTGTGAATGGGAACACGTATCAAAAATACTGGGGGGAATTTATCATAGCAATTGCGAGTGTTTGAACTTGCACGGAATATATTTGACGCACTTTGCACCAGATTTATGATGCAAGTGTAATGTTGATAAATGAGGTTTAATAGACTCCAGGAAAGAAGACGTAACTCCAGGCAAAAAGCTGAACTGTTGCTTCTTGAACAAGTGGTCATGGGGACTTCTTTGGTTGTGATTGTTTTGTTAGGTGATGCGCCAGTTTCAGACGTGCTGGAGAACAAGTGCAGATGAAAACAGGCGCAAAAAAAGTGCAAGCTCTGGTCAAAACAGGGGCACATGTTCAATGATACCTTTCTTATTGGACTAACAAAATATATATGCTTTCGAGAGTGAACCTCTCCTTGAGGTCAAAAGCAATAATAGTATGCTTCTGACCTGAAGAAGAGAGGTCCACTCTCAAAAGCATATATATTTTGTTAGTCCAATAAGAAAGGTATCATTGCACACTGCAATACTACGTGTGTCATTACATTATATATATAACACATATATGGTAAGGTTTTCTCAAATTTGTCTGCAAAAGTGGAACTACGCTTTAGGATCACTAGCGAATAACATCTGATGTCATTACCTTCTTTGTTTTTCCACAACAGACCATTGAAGACGTTTGTATCCAGGACTTCATGCATCATGGAGTTCACTTGCCAAGAAACTCTCCAGTGCACCCCAGAGTGAGAGAGGTACAGTCCAAATCTGGTAGTGTTTGCAGCTACAGAATTCATTTGATAAATCCCAGCAAAGGTTTGAGCTTGATGCCAATTTTTTTCAGCCACAAATAGTGTCAGGAAGGGTTAGAAACTTTGTAAGGCTCTTATTGCGGTCTACGTGCCAAAAGGGGACATTCCCTTCCCTTTCTGCCATGTGACATGACAGGAAGTGGAAGGAAATCTCCCCAAATTGAGGGGAAATCACACTTCTTGACAGTCCTGATTGGAACAGCTGTCTACATTGGAGGATTTCCCCTCACCTCCGATTCTAGTGAAAGCTGTAACATTTTGGTTTTGTCCTGAGAAAGGTCGCCGAGATAAATGGTAAAGGTCGGTCTCTCCAATGGGAACACACAGAGATAAAACTTTTCCCAATCCCATCCAATAACTAGAAAAAGAGTTCCACTTTACTTGTGTAGCTCTGAACACTAAGTGCTCTTGAAATGCTTTTGCAGATCCCTTACAAGTATATTACACGTTTTTATTATTTTCTGTCTTGAATGTTGCAAGTGCTGAAAGTCTGATTCCTTTCTTTCCTTGGCAGCCACTATGAAAAGCTGTCATCAGTATTGTAGCTGTTTACCTACTTTACCTGCTACTCTACTGACACTTGAAGTATCGCACTTCTAAACTCCATATTCTTAATCGTTGTCAGTTTGAATAATGTAAAAGTAATTGAATTTGCCATTCAGTTTTGATGTTTATGGAAGATTATTAATCCCGGTCTTCATAAGAAACTGAAATGACCATTTCTAAAATCATTTTTTTCAGGTAAAGTCATATATCCAATCAAAAGTGACAATGATTTGTTTTATGTTCCTCC